TGGATTTCTTGCCAAATGCAAAGCACTCTGACTGTCACAAAATAGCTCCACCTCGCGTTTCCCTCCTCCCCTTGGCTCCTTCACTTCCCCTCATTCGACACCTCCGCTTGTTCGCCGACCATCCCAACCTCGTCAGCCAGCTCTCCTCAATTCGCTGTTGTCCACCGCCTCCCCTCACGTCCTCCCCGTCTTCGAGGACCGCCGCCGAGACCTCCACCCGACTCAGAAAAAAAGGTATTGATCTCATTTCCTCCTTCTATATATTTCCCTTGTATATTCTTTGCTCATTTGATGCATTTCTTTACTTCGATTTTGAGTATATTTAGCAATTAAGCCTCTATATTAAGCATTTTTAGCAATTTTCTAGGGTTTCTAAGATGAATCCCTTTGATTTTCTTGATTATATGTCGCAGCGTATGAATTTAGAGACATCTTGAACCCTAGTTTTGGAATATCCTGCATTTAGTGTAACTCATTTGATGCATTTCTTTACTTCGATTTTGAGTATATTTAGCAATTAAGCCTCTATATTAAGCATTTTTAGCAATTTTCTAGGGTTTCTAAGATGAATCCCTTTGATTTTCTTGATTATATGTCGCAGCGCGTCGCAAGATTTTCTTCAAATAGTTCTTCTGAGAAAGCCAAATCTTCCTATTAATTCTGTCTCGGTAAATTTGCATCCCTAGAATCTTGTTTGCAGATCCTAAATCCTTCATTTCAAATTCCCTAGCCAACTGAGCCTTTAATTCTTGGATACGATCTTTGTTGGGGCCTGCAACCAACATGTCGTCAACATACAACAATAAGATAACAAAGTTATTTTCACCAAACCTCTTGAAATATGCACAAGGGTCTGAATTAAGTCTGTTGTATCCAAGGCTCATGATGAATGAATCAAATCTCTTATACCAACACCTCGGCGCCTGCTTTAGACCGTACAGAGATTTGTTCAATCTGCAAACCAAGTTCTCTTTTCCTTTTTCTTCAAAACCTTCTGGTTGGAGCATGTAAATTTCTTCTTCAAGATCTCCATGAAGAAATGCTGTTTTCACATCTAGCTGCTCTAGATGTAAGTCAAATATAGCGCTCATAGCCAGGACTATTCGGACTGTTGTTAGTCGCACTACAGGAGAAAATATTTCATTAAAATCAATACCTTCTTTCTGAGCATATCCTTTTACCACCAATCTAGCACGATACCGCTCCACTTGATCATCGCCATTTCGCTTGATCTTGTAGACCCATTTGTTTCCAATGGTCTTTCTTCCTTGTGGCAGTGACACAAGTTCCCAAGTCTTGTTCTTATGGAGAGCTTCAATTTCTTCCTGCATTGCTGCCATCCACAAAGATGCATCTGTGCCATTTATAGCTTCATGAAAAGTTGATGGCTCTCCATCTTCTGTTAGAAGACAGTATGCAACATTACTCTCCGTAATATACTCCGAGTGCCAAGTCGGTGGTCTTCTCTCACGAGTTGACCTTCGAACTTCTGGAGCCTCGGCCTCGACTGGTTCTTGTACATCATGCTCCGGTGTCGCTTCAGAAGAATTCAGATTATCTTCTACCTGAACAGCTACAGTCTCTGAGTCCTTCCTCGAACTGCTTTCTTTCTCTTCACTTTGTAGTTGGTTCTCTACAAAGATAACATCTCTGCTGATGATAACCTTGCGGGTAGTGGGATCCCACAGGCGATACCCCTTTACTCCATCAGCATACCCCAAGAATATGCATTTTCTGGATTTTGAATCCAGCTTTGTAATTTCTTGGGCATTGTACATTACGTACACTGGACTTCCAAATATATGGAGGTTGGAATAGTCAGCTGGTTTGCCAGTCCACATCTCCATCGGTGTCTTCAATTGTATTGTAGTTGATGGAGATCGATTCACCACATAACAAGCGATTTTTACTGCTTCCGCCCAAAAGACTTTTTCCAGATTTGCAGTAGCCAACATAGCTCTTGTTCTTTCCAACAGAGTTCTGTTCATCCGCTCCGCCACTCCATTTTGTTGAGGAGTATAAGCCGTACTGAATTGTCTTTTGATGCCTTCATGCTTGCAGAATGCTAGGAATTCACCGTCTGTGTATTCTCCTCCATTATCTGACCTTAAGCACTTGATCTTCTTCTCAGATTCAAGCTCGACCCGCGCTTTGTAGGCTTTAAAGACTGAGAACACATCCGCCTTCTTCTTGATAGGATACACCCAACATCTCCTGGAGTAATCATCAATAAAGGACACAAAGTACTTTACTCCTCCTAAGAATGTAACTGGTGCTTGCCATACATCAGAATGAACCAGTTCCAGAATAGCCTTGCTTCTAGAACTCGATGTGTTGAACTTCAGTCGATGCTGCTTGCTTGTAACACAATGCTCGCAAAATGGAAGAGCTACCGAATTAAGTCCAGGAAGCAGTTTCTGATCGGAGAGAACCTTCAAGCCTCGTTCTGACATGTGGCCTAGCTTGCGATGCCACATCATGGTTTGTTCTTCTCCACGGCTGGTTGATGCCACACATGAATCAGCTTCCTGCAGAGTCTCTCCCTTGAGCATGTACAGATTTGCAGCTATCTTTTCTCCTTTTATCACCACAAGCGCCCCTCTAACAATCTTCATGACTCCATTTTCTATATGAGTCTTGCACCCGAGCTCATCTAATTGTCCCAAAGACAATAGATTCTTCTTCAAGCCCTTCACATGTCGCACATCTTGAATGGTGCGTATTATACCATCAAACATTTTGATTTTGATAGTACCAATACCACAAATCTCCAAGGCATGATCATTCCCCATGAATACAGATCCTCCTGAGATAGGTTCATATTTGTGAAACCAATCTCTCCGAGAGGTCATGTGCCAAGAGGCTGCTGAATCTAGAAGCCAGACATCAGCAAACTTCTTTCTGCCTTCATCAACAGTGGTTGCTCCACTGAATAGAATTTCACCATCCTCTGACGTGCTGACAACGCATCCTTGAGATGTTGATGGCTCTGAAGACTTTTTATCTCCACTCTTCTTGTTGTGCCAACACTCCGATTTGACGTGCCCTCTTTTGCCACAGTTGTAGCATTTGATATTCTTCTTACTTCGTGATTTCGATCTACCATGGGCATGACTCCCACTGGAGCCACGTTCCGTTGATCTTCCTCTCGTCACCGACAAGGCCTCCGCTTGCTGCGAACTTGTCTGCCTGTCTTCCTTGTTCTTGCGCCGATTTTCTTCCTCCAGAACAGCGGCTGCAACATCGTCGAAGACTAGATTGTCCGTGAGGACGTTGTTCGTCAGGTTGATGATGAGTTGATCATACGAGTCAGGTAGACTCTGAAGTAGAAGTTCTGCACGTTCATTCGCACCAACTGTATATCCCAACGTTGTGAGTTGGGAGAACAGTGTGTTTAGGGTGTTGATGTGGTCGGTCATCGATGTAGATTCCGCCATCCTCAGAGTGTAAAGTCTCCTTTTTAAGAAGATTTTATTGTGCATGGATTTCGCCTCATATAGCTTTGTTAGAGTATCCCAGATCTCCTTTGCTGTCTTCTTCTCCTCTATGCTTGACAGCACCCCGTCTGCTAATGCCAGATGGAGATTTGCAATAGCATTTTCGTCCATCTCGTTCCACTTCTTATCATCTGTGATGTCGTCCGGCCTTGCACCAATGGCCGCCAGACAATTATCTTTTCTCAAGATAGCCTTTATCTTCAACTTCCACAGTGAGAAATTACTCCCGTCGAATTTCTCGATCTTGAACTTCGCCGCCATTGCTTCTACCACGAACAGTAACTTCTTACTATTTCACGTAAATAGTAACTGTATTTATGAACAGTAATCGTATCCGTGAATAGTATCGTACTTGTGAATAATACTGTATTTGTGAACAGTACTGTACTCGTGAATAGTACCCGTCACCTCCAAAGGGTAAATGATAACCTAACTTATTTTCTGATGTGGAGGATCCACCTTTGGTGGCAGCCACAGAGCATACGATAAGTAGATATATACAAGTACCCTAAGTTGGCTCTGATACCACTTGTTGGAACAAAACCGGGGCCCAATAGAGCAGGGTCGCAGCAATAGTAGAGCAAAAGTAGAGATAAAATGTTGGACACACAGATTTACGTGGTTCGGCACTTGATTGCCTACGTCCACGGGCAAGGATAAAAGAATTCACTATGAGGAGAAAACTCTGGAGTTACAATCTCTCTTTCTAAGGAGATACTCTCTCTATTTTTTCTCTCACACTCTTCTATATAAGAAGTTGTTTCTGGGATGAGATTTCCTTAAGGATTTGAAGCCTATTTATAGTTTTTGAAAAAATACTATGCACAATAAAATATTAATATTTTACTGTAGCTGTGGGGCCCGCTCTTTTGTTTTCTTTCTCCTTTTCAACATTGCATTAGCATGATCAAGATCCAACCTGAATCTGGCATATGTTCTCACCTTCCCAAATTCAATTTGTGACACGTATGGGGTAGTGCAGTCTGATACTTATTTCAGTCTAGGAGATTCATTGAAGTAATTATAAGCTTTAATAAGTTCCTCAGGAGATAAGTTTTTACCTGCGTGGGCTCGCTTGCACCAATTTGAAGGCATAAACATGAAATAACGAGGGTTTGCGAAATCTCGTTCAAGAAGAAAACCAAGATTTATGATAACATGTTAAAGATGCAAGTAGCTTCGAAGTTGAACATGAAAATCAAATTTCATAAATTAAATGAATAAATATCTCTGGAACCAGGATCATGACCAAATCAAAATTGCATGTACGTTCTTACTGGCTTCACATAGTCTAATGCAGAGGCATAGTACTAAATCTGCTTTATCCGAGTTAGGAAGTTGAAACATCCATGTGTCACAGGAAGCTAATCGTTTGAGTACGAATAGTACGTGCAGACTTTCTACAAATAGGACTTTCATATAAACCTAAATCTCTAGGACAAAAAAACTGTAAGGTACAAATGTGCAATGCACAAGGTACTTTATCTCAAGTAGATGGAAAAGAGAGTATATGTGTTTTTAGTACTTGTAAGGTACCTTCTGATATAGTTCCCTTATTTGGCTTACGTAAATTTCCTCATTAGCTATTGGGGAAACTTGCTTTGCACCTGGATCAAGAGAATGGTGTTTTTAGTACTTGGAAAAAAGTATGAAATGGTTCTTAACTATTAAAACGCAGCATGGAAAGAAGCCAGAAAACCAGAAGAAGTGAGCCAAGTGAGATAACTATAAGGATTGAGGTACATGCCATCTGTGGAAACACGATTTGGTAGGCTATTATGTGGCAATGATTTGGAGAACTTCTGAGAACCCTTCCGCTCCTTCCCTCCTTTGCATCGTCTCTCGACAGGGTTGTAGTTTCTGGAGCCAACTTTCAATTATTATGAGAAAATAAGCTTCTGAATTAGTTTTTCAAATGATAAAAAGGAGTATCATACTCATTCATAATTCCATGAGTTACAGAATCACAGTAGCGCTTCAGCCATTGTAGGAACTCCAAATTGTCCAATGGCCGTCCTTTAACAAGTTTGTTGACTTCAATGTGCTACAACACAGGTGAAATACAGGAACCAAGCATCACTAGTTGAAAATTATTGATGTTTTATCTTAAGAGACAAATAAGCGAGTGACCAAAATAAAACAAGCACAAATAAAAAGGAAAATATATGTTATCCTTATATATCAACTACCTTTTCTATTTTCAGCTTGTTAAACACGTCCTGCAGAAGCTTGTAATTTTGAATCATGTCGTACTCAGTCTTGGCATCAAAATTTACCTAAAAAACAAAATATATTCGAGATTAAATAACATGATGTCTAACTAGGTATGAGGGCAATAAAAAAGAATGAATTACCCTATGCATGGGAACAATCCCAGGATGGACCATGTCCATCATTTGGCACTGGACAGCACCAGATGCTGCCTGCATTATAGTCATTACGTAACAAAGGTGCATTAACTATAAAAACCAGATGAACAACAACAACAGCAGTAAAAGTGTAGCAGAACTAAAGATTTTGATGCTGTCAAACAATATGAGGCCAACTTAGACGCTTCAAATTGTTATTCCGGAATCACTTCACTAAGTAGTACTATCACCGGTTTCTCCCTCATCTACTATAAGATCACAGGGGAAGTATCATAGCATTGTACACAGTGAACATTTCTATGAATTTGGAGGAATGAACCACAACAGGAGTAGATTTCCCGAGACCCAAGAATTTCCGATTGCACCAATCACGCAGTTCAGTTCTCATTTTGCATCTTGTGCTGATATTTTCTTCATCCCCCTACACTGACATGTCTTGATGACGTAGAGAAATACGTAACATTCGGAACGGCAGCCAGCTTTAGAATGTGGATAACCTTTCTTATTAATATCTCTGATATAGGATCCAAATGGGACAGTCAAATAATGCTGCTTGCATGTTGCTGATACAATCTTTTCGTTCAAACAGAAAAAATTTCACCACCTTTCAATTAATAAAGAAATTAAGCAAGTGGAAAATTAAAAGGAAAAAAAAAAGATACTCGGAGCCGGCACCTCTTTTGTAGACTCATCAAGGTGAACTAAACTTTTACAGCTATTATGCTAATACTAGACCAATGTAGATTCACGGAAAAATCGAAAAAAGGGGGTAAAAATGGAACACAAATGTAGTCCATACAATAGTTTGGGGGAAATGATCAAATTAATATAGTATACAATCCCTAATTAGATGTCTCGATCACATTACCCTGTTCTAATTAGAACAATAATTTAAAAAAAAAACTTGACCTTAAATCGACATAACTCCTATGGAAATGAAGGGATTTAAGGGGGGGAAAACCTATTTAAATATCGTAATCTAAATCACATGGTCTCCAATTAAACATAGCTTCTTTCTCCGATCAATTAAAACAAGAACCACGCCAAAAAAAAACCTCGAAAACAAACAAAATAGAGGGAAGAAACCCTAGTTTTTTTTTTTTGGCTGACCTCTTCGACGCGAGAGAGGCTGAGCTGGAGGGTGGCGTTGATCCACGACAGGATCTCGTTCCTCCCGACGAAATACGCTCCGTCCATCATCCCGATCGCCGCCGCCATCTTCGAGATCCAACGGCCGAGAT